AGAAGTGTTTCTTGTATAATAAACTGATTGACAGTAAAGTTTGTTTATTTATCCAGATTTCTAACCATAGCAACAACAACACCAACAACAATCATAACAAAAAATAATCAATAAATTGTGCTGAAAAAATAACACAAGTGAAATTGTATTCTTTCTTGTACTTTTTAAAGTACTTCTATGATTTAGTTTTTTTTTCTCCCCTTTTTAAACATGTTCAGCTTCATTCTTTATTATTATTATTATTATTTTCTTTCAAATAGTTTCATATGGTTACCATGCTGTGTATTAGTGATTTTGTTCTTTAGGTTCAATGGAAAGGATACATAATTATTTAGTGTATGTATTGCAACAGCATGATGAAATAGTGTATCCAATTGTCTTTATATGTCTAGTTATATTATTTATGTAGATAATTGTTTTAAACAATCACATGTTTTGTTTTGCTTTGTTTGTTTGTTTTTTTTTTTTGGAAAGATATAAATTTTGTATTAGTAACAAACTAAACAAGAAAGTATCCATGTGAAATTCAATGACTTTCAAAGTGATCTAGAAAGATATTTCATTTATTTTCAGATGATCAATAAGTAGCTAGTAAATTGAAGAAATAATGGGTAATAGGTAAAATTAAAGAACAGCTCATATAGTTGTTCAGAGTAAAGACTAGTATCGGGTAAGGTTGGTTACTCTGACCCTTTCTCTTTCTTCTGGTTATCGTGACTGGATTATGAACAGATTAACATCTGGAAGTGAAGCATGGGATACAGTAGACATCTAGCATGCAGCTGGACAATCTAGACTTCGCAGATGATCTGACTCTTCTGTGACACACGCAACAACAAATACAAGAGAAGACGTCCTGTCTAGCAGAAGTCTCAACAGCAGTAGGTCTCAATATATACAAAAGGAAAAGCGAGATTCTCCGATACAACACAACATGCACTAGTCAAATCACACTTGACATAGAAGCTTTGAAGGATGTAGAAAACTTTACATATTTGGGCAGCATCATTGATGGGTATGGTGGATCTGATGCAGATGTGAAGGCGTTGATTAGCAAAGCAAGAGCAGCATATTTACAACTGAATAACATCTGGAACTAAAAACAACTGTTTGTCAACCAACACGAAAGTCTGAATTTTTAATACAAATATCAATACAGTTCTACTGTATGGGGAGGAAACTTGGAGAACAATGAAAGTCATCATCCAGAAGATACAAGTGTTTATCAACAGTTGTCTAGGCAAAATACTTCGGATCTGTTGGTCAAACACTAAAAGTAACAACCTACTGTGGGAGAGAACAAAGCCGATTCGAGTGGATGAAGAAATGAGTAAGCTGCGTGACAAGACAATCCCTGACTTGTAATCCTCAATGCCGAAGGAGGTGATGAAGTTCATTGAACACAGTATGTGGATAAATGGATACAGATATGAGAAGAATGAACGAGAATTGGATAGAACTAGGAAGGAAGCCCGACGACAGAGTGGGTTGGAGAACGTCGGTCGGCAGCCTATGCTCGATCGGGAGTAACAGGCATCAGTAAAGCAAAATTAAATTGTATGTTTTACATTGAATTATGAATTGTTCAAAGTTATTCAATGTTTCTTGCTTTTTACTATTATAACTTGTGGGTTAGTGCCTCTATCAATGTATAACGCAATTATACCACCAATTAGAGAACAGTGAGTTACCGACCGGAGCAATGACGCATAAAAAACCCGCATTAGAAGTATAGAATCCTTATCAGTCCTGCTTCCTGCCTAGCTCCACCTGTCAAGTCCAGAACACCAATCTCAGCCTCGCAATATGCATCACGTATTTCAGACATACTGGGTTTATATACCAACCAAACAGACCACTTTCTACCATAAAATAGAAAGTAACATTTGTACAAGATCTAGCCAAAAGGTGGCTGTGAATGTGGGAGACGGTAATTAAGAGATTGCGTATAACTCGAAAATGGTAAATCGTATAATAATAGTTCATAGGTTAAAATAAAGCTTATCATAAGTGGGACACGAATATGAATAGTTTAGTCATTTAACAATTATATGACAAAAATATACGCATAGTATTTGTCCATAAATAGATTCTAACGATTACCATTCATTATTCTCATCGGGATATAACATTTAATCTTAACGCTTCTACTTTTCTCCTCTGTTGATAGTTTTATTCTTATCATAATTTCCAGGAAAATATTACTGTCATATTTATACCATTGCATCATTGTGACTTTATCTACATTAATGAGAGCAGCTATATTAGTTATAAAAGTTTATAAGATTCCATTGATCGTCATAAGTATTAGTTGCTAAATAATTAACTTTAAACAAATTTCTTACACCGAAATGAATAACATCTCGAAACACAATGTCATCACCTTTAACTAAGGATCTTACTCACTAGTCCTAGTTCCTCATCACATTCGTATAAAATTGTGACGACGGACCACCGGTGAACTCGAGGAAGCTATAAGAGGCTCAGAAGGAGCCGAAGATGTCTCATCCAATCACCTTTCGGAAGAATGTTCTAGAATTCCAACGTGTAGCTTCGCGATTGGATAATGCTAATAACCCTCTGTATGCGGATTGGAAGACTGTAATGATGATTTTGTTCTCACTAAAAACTATAAATACCTGACAATTTTGTACTATGATTGATACTGTTTGGAATAATATTCCTTTCATTAGTCTTTTGTCTTCTTATTGCGACTTGGAAGGGTTTTGGTGTTCTAGTGCTCTGTTATACGCGGTATATTGAGAAAAATCAACTTTCAAGATATAACAAAAATGGTTGTTTGAACAAGTTTCTTCTCTTATAAACAAATTACTATTGTTTTGTCATCGAACTTACCAAACAATCGATTGGTTACCGGTCTGTTATTTGAATTATGCTTTGTGACTTTAAAATGTGATCATACAAAACTAATTGATTTATCTGCATACTTTGGTTTAAGTAATCTTTGTTCTAAGATATTTCTTTTTTGTACCTTACAAATAAGCTATACTTTTAATTGAATTTCTAGTTTACCAAAATTTACAATGATCTGATTACTCTGGTTTTATTTTACATAAGTATTGAATATACTACCTCAACAACGGCTATTCAATACATTTTTTTTAATTTGTTTAACAATCTCCCTTTCGTCGGATTTATTGATTATGTTGTTTTTATTTATGCATGTTATAGAAGAGGACCAGTCGTTGAATGACTGTACATGTTTTTCTTATCAAATTCAAGTCATTCACTGATGATAAGCATATCTTAATTCTGTTAATTAACAATCTTCACGGTACCATTGTGGTTATCGAGAACACAAGTGGGGACAATTATATATAACTGAACATAAAATTATGGGACAACTTAGTAAAATCTGAGAACCATACAGTAAATAGTTCATTTGCAAAATGTCAATCATTCGTGTCAGACTTCATTGTTTCTTTGTTTTCATACCAATTATTCTCTGTTCTCATTCTCTTTTCTTCGATCTTCTTAGCCTTTTACCTGTAGATATTTCATTTTCAATTGATGATACATACTACTTATATCTGTCGACATCAGTAGCACACGTCACAACCTCGTTTGATTTTGTTAAGCTCTTCAGTCGGCTTATTTGACAGACGATGTCCCTAGTTCAGAAACAATTTATATATCTCACAATGGCTTATTCACCGTCCTGTATTTTTTTTATTATATACTTATTTCTGTTTGTACTCAATTCGTGTGATTGTGGAATTGTGATATGCGCTATACAACAATAAACCATAGTCAGCTCTTCATATTATCTTGTGAAATGTTTATACCGTTGAGAGTTACACAATAACAGTTATCAGGGCAATTTATATGGGAATCATATGAATTATCTCGAAGGTATTTTATTATACATTGATTCCAATCCTAAAACTAAACCTTTACCTCATATCCTAAACCCTCATTCTAAATCCTATTTACAACTCATAACTAACCCGAAACTTATTTCCTAAGTGTAGTTGTCATTATTAGCCTTGATAAATATTACTTCAATCTCCTTATCTTTTACACTCATTCACACTTATTTCATTTTTACAATCATAGGTGAGTGATTTATAGTCGACAGTTAACATCTTGGTTTTACGATGTCAGATTAACATCATTCTAGATTGATCTGTGTGTAATAATTTTGAAGTTACTTTCTAATTCATGATTTGTTTGACATTCGACCTATATATAAACATTTTACCACATAAATTCATTTGGTATTGTTTAATTGTATCTTTTCATTGTTGTTTAGGACTACAATAGAACAATCTTTAATTTACATATGTAAATCCTGTGCGTCTTGCCTCGATATTCCCTTAATTCACAAGATTTATAAGCAACTTCACCTCATTGCACAAGCAGGTGACGCGATGTTGTTTGAATTGGACGGTACTAATTTCCAGTCCCGGGGTGAACATCAACTCTAGGATACAGGTACATCCAACTGACGAGTCCCGAACAGGAGGAAACGCGCATTTTGAATTCCACTACTAGCTACTACCCACCTTAGCTTGTAAATTTTTCCATCCAATTAATCTAATTCATTCACATTAAACTATACAAATTAAAAAAAACACTTGACAGTTTGTTTACATATAAAAGGTGTCATATTTAAAAGTTATCACCAAGATTTTTAATTATCATCGGTGGGGGGGTGGGGTAAGAGTTGGTTTTTCATCGGAGGATATTTATTTTGTATATTTTATTAGAAAAGATAAGAAGATAAAAATCATTGTAAACAAGGTAATGAATAAAAAACGAAGTAGTAACTAAAGCAACAACAACAACAAAAATCGAATTACTTTAGAATGAACATGACCAATGGACATTTTTAAAGAGGAATAAAAAAGAAACGAAATTGATTTTATGAACAATCCAAAAGTCTTGTATTGGATAATTCTCCTCATTGTTCTCAAAGTGATTATGTTAAGATAATAATTATTCTTTTTTTGGTAAAATAAATAGTTGCATAGGTCTCGGTTATTTCCATTGATCGATAAGGCAACAGTTTGACAGAGATGGTCATTAAATAAAGTATATATAAAGGCAGATCGGTGAATGAAATACTAAGGGAAAAAAGAGGGTTTTAATGCCATAATACTTTCACAATTTAAAGGCTTCTGCTGAATACTACTATTTAATTAATAAGTAGTAAGTAGATATCAACGAAAATGTGAGAGTAAATAGCTGAAAATTATAATTATTGTATACAAAACAAACACTTTTTCATGCTTGTCCTTCAAATGGTTAATAAAAATTCGAAAGAGAAAAGGAACAGTTTACCAGTGAATCAGTTAAAAAAACATTTTCATAATAGAAAAAAGGATGGAATAAGGCTTCTTGAATGAAATATGTTTAATATGAACCGGTGGATACAAATAAAATTATAAATAATGAAAGTATTCTTTTAATATGATAAATACATCACTTGTAAATACACACCCTATATGCATATAATACTACTTAAAATGAAATTAGTAGTCATAATAATACTGATTAAAAGATGGTTAGTTATTGTTTAGCTTGTAGACATTAATAACCATTTAAAAGCAAAAATAATTTAAGAAATAAATGAAGAATGAATTATTATTGAGTTATGAACATGTATCATTTATGTACCACAAATATGTATGTAATACACGGATAGACATTCATTGGGCGCAAAAAAGAATAATTCATTATTGACTGAGAATAGTGGGAGTTATTCAACCGGAGTTAATACTAAAAAATAAAACAAAATGAATATAGAAAAAGCGGTTAAGTTTAGTGAGGTTGTAATTATAAAACAGTGATTAGTGAATACGATTTGTAAGATCTTGCTAACTTTTCTAGTTTACATCATGGAATAATCCTAGTTAGACCAAAATTGGAAACTAGGAAGAGTTGGATAATTGTTTCTTTGTAACCTGTGACTCCACAACAGTGCGCATCCATGATCTCGAGCGTGGGATTCGAATCCGCCACCTTCCGTCTAGCGCGCAAATGCAGAGTTAAAGGTTTGAAGGTCAAGCGTTTTCACGCATTAACGAATGTACTGGGTTCGAGTCCCGTGTGCAGGATAGTGGGTAAGTATTGTTGAGCAGTCCAGTACTAGGACGAAACAACCGTTCAATGCTTATAAGTTATCACTGGTGGTGTACTGTAGATTGACTCGTGATTTCAACCTCGAAAATACCCAAATCTCCACAAACATTCTCGAGATATTTAAAGCTGAGAAGCTAGCATAGCTAGACTGTCAACCAACATCAAAGTCAGAATATCCAACACAAATATCAAGACAGTTCTACTGTATGGGGTGCAAACTTCGATAACTATGAAAGTCATCATCCAGAAGATACAAGTGTTTATCATCAGTTGTCTATGCAAAATACTTCGGATCCGTTTGCCAGACACTATGAGCAACAGCGTACTGTGGGAGAGAACAAAGCCGATTCCAGTGGATGAAGAAATGAGTAAGAAGTGTTGGATGTGGATAGGACACACAGTGAGGAAAGCATCCAACTACATGACAAGACAATCCCTGACTTGTAATCCTCAATACCAAAGGAGGTGAGGAAGTTCAAAGAACACATGAAATGGATAAATGGATACAAATATGAGAAGAATGAACGAGAATTGGATAGAACTAGGAAGGAAGCCCGAGGACAGATTGGGTTTGGAGAATGCTGATCAGTAGCCTATGCTCGATTGGGGGTAACAAGCCTAAGTAAGTAAGTAAGTATATACTGTAATTATTATTTCTATAAATCAAACAGAATAATATTTTTACTTGATTATAAACAACCACAATATTGAAAATTGATTACTATTGCTATAAGATTTAAAATTATTTATACAGGAGACTCCTACGTACCTGTTTTGAATGATTTAATTATTGATCGTTAATTCTTGGAAAAGATTTTATTCTATACTAACTAACATATGAATTGACTCCTTGAAGATATACATATATACATACACACTTTTATTAATTATAAACATTCATTTGTACATTCAGATGAACAATCTATTTTCACTGGTGAACTCATTGATCCCATTGTCACATCATTAACCTCTGTAATCATTGCAGCAGTCCGATTAGGTTGTAAACCAAGTAATGATGAATCTTCTGTACAATCCTTCTTTGTCACATTATTATTATCATTATCATTATTCATTGGTAATGATGGATGATTTAATAAGTTTTCATTTTGATGATTACATAATGGAATAGATAATAATTGTTCTGAATGTATATCAATTGGATGTAATGAATTCATTGATTGTATATTATTTGAATGATAATACTTTGTATCATTATTATTATTATTATTATTCATTATATTAATATCTATATTTGATGATGTATTTGTTGCCATAGCAACAATTGATTGATTAATATTTGGTGTTTTATTGATTATATTTTGTTTCGTTTTTAAATTTTCTGTATGTTTTTTTAAATGTTGTTGCATTGTACTAGAACGTATAAATGTATAATCACAATTTGGATAAATACAATGAAAATGTTTATTAATTTTATTATTATGACATAATGGACGACGACAATCAATACTAATATCATAATATTCAAAACCTTTTTCTATTATAGTATGTTGATGAAATTCACGACGATGTATATTAATTAAATCTAATTTATTAGTAGACATATAACATCTTGGTTTAACACAATGATAATGTTGTTCATGAGTTATATAATAAGGACAATTTATATCTGGACATAATTCATTAGGTAAAAATAATTTTATAGCATATTTTATATGTTTAAATTGATTTTGTTCTTTCTCATTATTATTATTATTATTATTATTATTATTATTATTATTATTATTATTATTATTACGTAATAACATGGGATTATAGTTGCTAACAGGATTATGTAATACATTTTGATCAATATTATTATCGATTGGATCAAAAAACATGGAATATGTTAAATCAATAGTATATTGATTATCTATACATAAATATTCAGGTGGATTAATATGTGGTACATAAATATGTTTAGCATATTTTGGTGGTCTACCTCTACGTTTTGGATTAATTAAATTATTATATGTTGTAGTCATAGTAACATGATATTGATTTTGATTTTCATTATTATTTAATGAATTAGTTATTAAATATTCATTATGTGAAAGAAAATGTTTATATAATATTTGAAAATTTAATTGATTTGATAAATTAATAAAATTACATTTTGGCCAAAAACGACAATGAATATGATCATTATTATTATTATTATTATCATTATTATTATTATTGGATTGAATTGGGCAATTTGATTGATTACATTCTATATAAGCATAAAATGATAAACATGCTTCCCATAAATGAGATAACCAATATTTACACCATGTTTTAGAAGAGTTTTCATATTGTTTTACATCATCATCATCATCATCATTACTATTACCATTACTATGATTATCGTCACTAGTATTATTATTATTATTACTATTATTAGTAGTAGTGGTGGTGGTGGTGGTGGTCGTCGTCGTCATGGTGGTGGTGGTGGTGTTAGTAGTATCAATCATATTATTATTAATATTTGAATGACATCCTGGCCAAAAACATTTATTTAAATATTGATTATATGATTGATAAATAGAAATAAGAATTTTATCAATTTTTTTATATAATAATACATTTTCATCATTTAAATAATTATCAAAATTATTGATTTTTAATAATATATATTCCCAATTTTCACGTCGATATATACACATAGCAACAAATTTTGATAATTTATTTAATAAATTATTTGTATTGATTAAATCATTAAAATTATTATTAAAATCATTTTGTAATAATTGAAATTCATTATGTAATGATTGTTTTAATTGATTTATTGATTTATTAGTTTCTAATAAATCAATTGTATGATTATCAATATTGAAATCATTTTTATTGATTTTATTTTCATTAATATTGATTAAATCTTCATTATTATTATTATTATTATTATTATTATTATTATTATTATTGTCTTGATTAGATGGAGAAAATGTTTGATTGATATCATCATGACATAACATATTTATGTATTTAGGTGAAAATGATGTAAATCGTCTATCATGTTTTCGTTTATGTGACATGATTTGACTAGATGAATGGATTACATAATCACATCCTGATAAGATGATTTTCAAAAGAAACAAACAAGAAAAAATCAATAATAAGGTATAACAAATAATAATGAAATGTGATTTTGATGAAGTTATATTCATTCTCTGAGCTGGATGGTTTCGTGATGGAGCTTTCATCGTTCTTATGAATGATAGCATTAGCTCAAACTTCAGGTAGAAGTTCTACAACCAAACTATACAGCTCAGAGAACAAAACTCGTAGATGGCGGGAGGGGAGGTTGACTATGAACACAGTGGCCTTGAGTGCTGTTGGAGGTATGAGAGCGGTTATCACTTCCCAGTTGCCCATATCGTGGGAAGGGTTCTTCTGGAGGTACCTGAAAAGAAATTGGATTAGAAGTGGTCTTAGTGACCTGGGAGCGTGACCGCAGTGTTCAAGGGACAACTGCTTGAGGTCGGTCACACACGACGTTTTTATGAGTAATTTTTGTGTTAACTCCGTACTTGTTGAGACCTTATCGCCGGAGACGGATATCTGTGGGATAAGGCGAGGTGTGCATTTTTAGGGTCAACCTTTTCTAACCCCACCCCTCCTTGTGGGAAGGCAGCATCGCTGTTATGCTGGTTGTCTGAAGGAAACACCTTACTGCTGTCACACCTCTGTACAGTCAGCAGTACGACTTCGCCTTCGGACCTTGGGTTTGTTGCTTTTAGTCTTACCGCTCTTCAACTGACCTGTCTGATATGGTAGGACCTTGAGGAATTGTTGTTCCAGCCAGTATAGCTCGGTTGCTTCATCACGATAGGCAAGCCCGACCACCACGTCAAGGTAGCAACAACGGTCGGGAGTAGATGGGCACTGATCAATATTATTTTACTAGAACAAAACAATTGTCCAGTACTTCCAGGTTTTCAATAATTGTATATTTTTTTCTAAAAAACAACCAATGCTTATTGACTAGTTTGCTAAGTTTACCCCGTTTTAAAAAAATAAAATCCTAAACTTACCTGGTCGAATACAATGAATATGGTTTATTACGCCAGAATATTGACAATCGGGAAAATCACAATTTTCACATTTTATATAACGACGAAATCCATCTTGTGCAAATCTATCATTTTTCTGATGATGTAATTTATGTTTTTCTAGTGTGGAAAAGAGATAAGAATAGAGGTTAACGTAGGTTTTTTTCATGTAAATAATTACATGTTTTAACTTTCGCATGTACAACTCATTTCATTATACACTTGTTCTACTCACTATTATTAAGTAGTATATCTCTATATAGAAAAGTATGTGTGGAAGGGATGATACGTTTTAGAGTTTCGCTGAGAATTTTATTTTAAACTAATGACTAATACATATACCTATGCTAATTCACTCACTATTAGATGATGATACCAAGCCATGAGGTTTTAGCCCATATAGACAGTGTTGATACATTCATTCTATTCCAAATTCAAAGCTTATTATATTTCTCCTTAATGACAATTGAATACGATAGGTCCAGTGATTTGAATGGTTAAACTTTGTGTGTATTTTTGATGTTCGGTTTAGTTGGAAGTGATTGCCTAGAAGCGATACAGAATGAAGAGCTGATCGATAGAATTTATTCAACACTTAAAATTTAAAAATATGATATTGGTTGCTGTTAAAGGGCTAATTGAGGCTGACATAATTTATTAAAACCTCTCTGACTATGACTAGATTAAAAATAGTTCAAACCTATAAATCGTATAAATACTACATACTGATGAATGATTCCAAACACTTAATATCAAACTTGTATGACTTATCATTATCATCGAGTGATTATGATCTTACGTGAGTAATATGTGATATTACTATCAGGTATTTCGGCGACAAGTTATTTTATGTTGTGAATATTTTGCTTATTGGCGAAATTAGTCAATTTTGGAAATGTTAACCATTATGGTTATTAATGTAACCATAATGGTTTAAGTACATTGTTTATCAGTAGACACTTCTAGGTAGGTTGTTAAGACTTGATTCACTATTACGTAATTGTCGATTGTTCCTCTGAACATACATTTGTGTAGAATTTATAATATAAAATATTGTTTACTGAATAAAAAAACCCACTTACCCATATCAGCTTTATTTTTAAATGTAAAATGACAATTATTACGTCGACAATGAAAATGTGTAGTACATTCTTTATAGAATGGACATTTGATAATACCACAATTTTCTGTTGCACGAAATCGTTGAAAACCCTCTTGTATAATAACAGCATCTTTACGATGATAATTTGCATGCATTTGTACATCTGATGTACTGACATATACCTATAGATATATTTTTTGGATGAGGAAAGAAGAATGAAGATGACATTATTAGATAATGCCAAAAAAATATCTGTCTAAGACAAATGTGAACGCAAATATACCAATGGGATCTAGCGATCCTATTTGTTAGGTAGTTACCCAGAAAATCATTGGAAGATGGTTATGTAATATAGCGAACTGATTGGACATACAAATCGTTGAGTATCAACTTAGTGGTTTAAGAGATTATTGCTTTATACAAAGTCTGAAAGTTCTGGATTCGATTCTTAGTGGATTCGCCTCAAACAGTATCTTGATATCTACTTAATTACTGAGTTTGGATAGTCGCTTACTTGTGCAATGGGTGTGGGTTTTCGGTCGATTTGAAATGGATTGTATTATCCTGTTGTAGACGTGCATAACTAATCATTTATGAATCAATGTGAAAACCTCAATCATGAACAGAAGAGTAAATAACTCAACTGAATGTGACACCGGATGACGAAGTTCTAAATCTCCCACAACTGCCTCTAAACACGAAATATTATGACTATTATGCAAAAACTATTAATTATACATTTTCAAAAACAGTAACATGTCTTCCTTAATTTTAAATACGACATAGTGAACGACTTCATAACACATTAAATTAGAACTTTTGAAATGGTGTTTAATGCTGCTTAGTTCCCTATTACTTTGTCAATGAAATCCGTACTTACACAATAAATCAGCGATCAAATATCACTAATGAGCTATTGGATGATGGCTTTACCTTTGGATGGCCTTGAAAGTGTACCGATATAGTCATTAAAAGAATGTATGAAATTCTTTCATCATTTATTCAGTTGATATATTTTACAATTATGAAAGAGAATGAACTATTATGAAATTAACTAATTAGTAATAATCTATTTTGAAGTGATGAAGAGATCTTAAAATAGGTTAAATAAGTGTTTATTAACTGTGATAATCCATTTGAGTAAGATTATCTATTGATGAATACTTCTAATTCATTTCGTATTGATTGTTTGAATCTTCCCATTGATGTTTAAGACTGTCAATGATTAATCTCTTATTGGTATATGTGCATCCTGTACAGATTGCCTCGATATTGCCTTAAATCACAAGCATTACAGAAGAGATGATGGTGGCTAGCAGTTTCATCTAGATTGTGAACAGCGGTTGGGTTGAGTCTCAATGTGAATATCAACTCTGGGATGCAGGTACATTCAACTGACAAGTCACGAATAAGACGAAAAGCGTGTCTTGTGTATCACTACTAGGCACCATCCATCTATATCTATGGTGAATACTTTATTGTCAAACTAAAAATTGTGAACAGAAAACAGTGATTCAATGGTTAAACCATTCATGACTCAACTAACAAGATTACAGTTCGAAATAAGCTTTAACGATGAACAGATTCAGTAGTAAGATAGCACCACTAGTCCTCAGATAATATTACTCAAAAACTATTAAAATTACATCTATATTGTGTAATTAACAGTTAATTAATCACTGAGCAATGATTATTTTCCAGACAATAGTTTAAAGAAATAATTTAATGATATTATTTACATGTACATTTAAACAAATCATTATTTTAACAGTTGAAACCATGAGTCTATTGAAGCTAGACCATCATGGAAAACCTGAGAGCACTGTACGGTCGTTTCGTCCCAGTATGGGGCTCCTCAGTAATGCGTATCCACAATCCCGCCAGGGTCTGTCACTTCCACGAGCGAGTGCTTAACTATTAGACCACTGAGTCGCTAACCAATGGTGTTATTGTCTAACATCAACCAATCCACCGAAATGCGCCACCGTACACCATTGTCTTCAGTGAGCTGATATCTCATAACAGACTTGGTTGAACTCCACTGGTAACGGCTTCTCACTAGGACTCCAGGAAATGCCTCTTGAAGTCAGTCCCTAGTGAGCAGATGATTATTATCAGAAGGGGTTATTTTGTAGAGATTTTAGAAAGTTCACTGATTGAAGTCATGAGTCAACTGAGGAGTACCGTACTAGGACGAAACGGTTGTCCAGTGCTTCCAGGTTTTCCATGGTATTCTAACTTCAATGGACTCATGATTCCAACTATTGACATTACTAAAATCTCCACAAAACCCTTTTTGATAATAATCATTGTTTCTTTTTTTAGAAAAAAAGTAAGTGATTACAATTCACATTGGTAATTTTTTTTCTAAAAACGAAATACTGTAGTGAATGCTACTGATGTCAACAGATATTAATAGTATGTATCATTAATCGAAAGTGAAATACCTGATAGCAGAAGGTTAAGAAGATTAAAGAGAAGAGAATGAAAACAAATTATGATCTGTGTGGAAATGAAAAAACAATAAAGTCTGAAATGATGGACTAACATTTCGTAAATGAACTATTTACTCTATGGTTCTCATATTATACTCAGTTTATTCATTACTGTCTCCCACGTTCATAGCCACATTTTGGCCTATTTGTGTATGAATGTTATTTTCTATTTTATGGTACGTTGCGGTCTGTTTGATTGATATATAAACCTAGTATGTCTGAAATAAATAAATCATATAGTGGAGTCTGTTATTAGCATTCTAGACTCAACTGGATGTGTTAGGCAAGCAACGAACCAATAGGACGCTAGGCTGATCAGATCGGTTGGATGTCATTGATTTAGTACAGTACAAGTCATATTTTGATTGACGAATAAATTACGTAATAACTAACAGGCTATAAAGTCATAACAACTAAGTGATTCATATACATTCGATTGTCACCACTTCTATATGCTCATTCACTAAAATTCATATCATACACCAATTTTCAAATATTCATAAAACGAGACTAAAACAAAAGGATCAATTGTAAAATAACTTAAATGATATATTGAATTATTCATTGTTTTAAATCTGTCATCAGTTTAGGCGGACCATTCAAATGATTATTACCATTATTATCTTACTCAGACAGAATATAATACTGTTCCTTTTATTGTACTTTATAATAATAATAATAATAATAATAATAATAATAACGAAGGAAACACACACACACCTCAGTTATAATCGATTCTACTAAAGCGTCGTGTGTGTGTGTGTGTAAGTGTGTGCGTTTCTCTCATTACAACACTTAAGTGGGTTCTTTTCTCTTGAATCTTTTCTTATTCTATAAACTTGTCTTATTAAACTTTTCTTCTTTTTTTTTTAATAATTTTTTTTTATGAAAAATAAACTTTTTTTCTCTTTTCTTTTATGAAAAATCTCATAGAAACAGTGTTTTTTTTTGTATTTTTGTTTTAAGTCATTTAAACCATAAAAAAATGAAAAAGAATAAAATTTAACGAAAAAAAAATATGTGAAAAAATTCTTTTTCATAAAATTTTTTGTAGGTATTTCTTCTTTGTGTGTGTGTGTGTAGCGTAGAGAAGAAAAAAGAGAGAAAATGACAGAAAAAAAAACACAATTTTTTTTTGTTTTTGTTATTGTTTAAATAAGTTAATGTTTACTTTGTGTATGTCAGTAAATCAATCTATACGGATGTAGGTGTGCAGGTACATTTATTTATTTTATTTTTCATAGTTGAATTCATGAATTGAGCTAATCTAGATAATTATGGAAAATTTGAAAGCAGTGGATGATTATTTCGTTTTAGTACGGAAATCATCAGCATTTGTGTATTCATGGTATTGTATGCGGAAATCAGACCTAAGACTTTTTAGTCTCATGTGTGTGAACACCTAACCTCTAGATTGATATCTAATAGTGTTTATCAATCAATCTATGATCTTGCACAACTCTTTCAGTTTTTCGATGGTGATCTAGCTTAGATCAACTCATGAATTCAACTATTAAAATCTTTACTAGTATAGGGGTTGTGGAGATTATTAAGTTTTTGATTGAGATCATAAACCGATTGATGTAAGACCACCTTTGGAAATCTGGGAGCACTGGACGACCGTTTCATCCTATTGTGGGACTCCTCAGCAGTGCACATCCACGGTCTCGCTAGCGGGATTCGAACCCAGGGTCTTCGATCTCGCGCGCGAACGCCTTACCAGCTGGACCACCGAGCCGGCATTCAATGGTGGTAGTATCTAGCATCAACCAATCCACGAAATTGCGCGAACAACTTCCGTTGTACTGAGGTAGATACCTGTCTCTACCCGACATGGATTTGCTCCACTGGTCTTTTTTTTCAGTTATCTTACAGTTTATATGAAATTTTATATCATGGATTGATTTTCATCAAACGACTAATAAAAAATAGGGTGATACTGAACAACCATTTCATCTTGGAATATGAAATTCCTCATTTGTATAACAATCTGTCTGGTTTTCAGTGAGTATTTAACGAAACGTCACTCAGTCATATGAACCTTTAAATTCAAAAGTCATCATAACACATAGTTTTTTTTTTACCAAGATAATTATCCTTAGTTATATATTTATTTATTTGAACACATAAATGTTGGTACCAAGTGGCATCTAGTACGTATGTGCCAAACGAGTTACTTGATTTATGTGGTGGTTGTGATACTATCCTGGTGCTTAAACCGAAGCAGATAGTTTTCTTAGGCGGTCACTCCCCGAGCACTTGAACTAAAGGTCTAATTCACAAGACAGTGGAGAAACGTTAGGAGATAGAGTCTCATGGTAGCTTGTGACCAGTAATTGGTTTATACACCATTTGTTCCCTCAGGATCCTAGAGTCCATATGGACCATTGGTTTTGAATTAGAGTTTTTCAACTCCCCTAAGTAAACTCTCCATGTCCACCAACCCGGGTAAACCATTTGGCATCCGCTTTTCGTCCTCTCAATTTTGTAATCAGAAGAAAAGATTATGCAGAACAATCAGTTCTCTTTCTCAATAAATTCACTTTCAATAATCTTATCCTATGTTAATTAATGAACAGTTTACAGAAGTCATTATTTTTGACGATAAAAAAGTAAACATTAAGTCAGGTATATCGTAGTTGTTATTCAAATTGAAAATAGGTCTTTTTGATGACGATTGATAACAA